AATAATAATAATAATAATAATAATAATAATAACTTGATACGCGCAATGAACTCACACAGGCGACTTACGGATTGTACCTATTGAACCTCTCTCAATACAAGTCTCAGGGCGAGCTGGTCCATCTGGGTATGCTTTGTACCCATGCCCTTCTGTTATGTTACCGTCTTATTGTGGGTCCGAATATGTCAGAATGCCAACGAGGCCTCTCTTTGCCGCGGTGGTCATTTTCTCCCCACGATAGATCATACCGTATTTAACGATGGCAATCTTCCCTTTTACATTGACGTGACTTTGCTCCAAGTCGTCGTAATCTTGCTCACGACCAAAATTAGCATATACGAACTGTGCCGTCACATTGCCACTAGAAGATTGCCCATGAAAAGCGGGAGTCCGGATCTCAGATGGATCATTGAATGGCAGCTCTTCCATCAACTTGGCTTCGTATATCACAGAGGGGGACGGGATCTCTGAAGTGTCTATCAACGCCAATCGTTGAAAGACCGGTGCGCTTATCGAAGCATTGTATTTAAAGATCTCCGTCTCTGGTATGCCAAACTCTTCCCATTTCCTCTTGGTCCAGAGGGTTTGTTCTTTGCCCTCGCCGGGAAAGTGGCTTTGAGAGGTGTAGTAGTAGCTCCATTCCGCGGCGTGGGACGCATTGGGCTCAGAGAGCAAGATAGTCTCCAATTTTGAAAGTGGGAAAACGTCACGGAATGCTTGGCTGGTGAAGAGATGAGATCGCCAAAGCTGGGAAATAGGCTGGTTGAATAGGCATTGCGAGGATCGTGACAATGCGGTCAGAGCGACTATTAAGATAGCAACAACGAAGAGCAAGAAACTCCTTGTCGATTGAAATCGGAGAGTCATCTTTGGAGTATAGGTAGTCTGGTCCTTCTCGTGATGTCCCTCGAGGTCGCTTGTTTTGGCCTTATATGGACCCTGGGGGGCTGATGTGCACAGCATGATTGCAGCAAAATAGGTTTAGTAGCTTTCAACACCCGGACATTCGGTGTTATGTCTAAACAAGAAGAACTCAAACATACACAAGGCAGGCGATAGGCCAGAGGTAGATTGCAATAGCTAGCCTTACGAGGTGGGTGGTGATTAATCATACCCCTGCCCAGGTGCCCCCGCAACTCTCCCCTCTCCTCGATCGGGACTTTTGCTCTAGGACAAGCCATTTATGAGGCATTTTCTAACTAGCGGGTAACGTGTTCCATGTTCGCCGGCATCCGAATTGATTCTATCACTGCAGCTCATTGCCCGTCCTGTGCTCCCAAGAGTCCCGCCGCATTGGTGACACTGCGGATAAAAATGGTAGAAACGCCGTTTGGGATTTGAAATTCCTACTTGGAGAAAAAGAATATTCAAGAGCCGCTCATACATGGAACATGAAGCTCGACTATCGGCTCGTTCACTCACAGCATGCCCGGCTGCTTGGCTGCTTGGCTGCTTGAGTAGATGCTTCGACCTGCGGCATTCGACCTTCCCATCCCAGACCTTAACTCGCTCTTTGAGGCATGTGAGTAGTGAGAGCCACCACAAAACGGATCCAACTGCTGTGATGATGCCATTCACGGTGCCCCAACTGGCAGCACCCGATCTTGCGCTCGCAAAGCAACGGCATCATGTAGGCAGTGCATCCCAACACCTTCAGCGACATGGGATTCTCAAAATCAACCTTGGCTTTCCAGATCCTGGCAGTCAATACTTAGAGAAATTGGTCCTGAGCCTACATGAGTATCACGGTCATCGTCTCCCAATATCACATAGCGCGTCGTGCGGTGGTTCTGGGACGTCCGGCCGAGCATCAATACCCCTTTCCAAACTCCTCAACACCAAGCGCGATCGGAAACAATGGAGGAGTTCACCTGGCATACCGACTGCAGTTATGAAGACTCACCGCCGCGATACTTCGCACTTCATGTGCTCCAGCACGATCGATTTGGCGGGGGGGGGGGGCCCTCTCGGTCATGAATGTTCAGAAGTTAAGCGAGTTGCTCTCCCCGGAAGCTCGAACATCTCTTATGCGGCAAGACTACAGCATCAAAATCTCACTGGAGTTTATCAAAGAGCGTGAGAAACGGGATATTGTAGGCAGTGTGTTGACGGCTCAGCATGACAGACAGCCCTGCATCATGCGGTTCCGAAGAGATCTCATTAGACCGTTGACCGAGAGAGCGTCGAGAGCGCTACAAGAGCTTGACATGTTCTTGCAAATTACTGGGGCCCATACACAGTCAATGCTACATCTGTCCTCGCTGGATCTTCCAGCAGGGAGCATTATCTTGTTGGATAATCGCCGTTGGCTGTATGCACGAAGTATCATCAAAGATCCAGAACGTCATTTGCGTCGAGTGCGCTGGGATCCCGTTCCCTTTCAGTGATTCTCATGTTTGGTAGTTCAAAATATCCTTATGTTTAACGGAAAAGATCGATCGTAATGCTATTATTATACACGGGAAGGCGCTGTGTGCCCGCACACAGCGGTCCCTTGCCTACTGGCCGCCCACACACCACCAGACGCAAAGGAATACAACAACAACAAATCATATATAGGATACATAGGAAGGATCACGAGGCCCACTTATTTCTCTAATGATCATCCGCCGATCAATATCGAATTTATAGATTTCCAGGCTGCCTAGTCTAAAGAAACTTTCCTATCCACAGGCATACAAAAATACCAGTAGTGTGCAGGGTAAGTAAATGCACTATACATTAGGTACATTTGGCCAACAGTGTACCTAAAAAAAATGAATTAATAGGGGGGTGGGGGGAGATGCATTAGTGTCTGCCTCGGGCACCATGGTATGTACGTCTTACCATCAGTATTTCTCTGGTGTTTTGCAACGCAAACCATCTCCTTACCCCCGTCTTCTTTTAATTTTTATTTTTTTATTTGGCTCACGTATCTGATTCCTAACATGGATGAGACTGCCCCTCTTCTCCAAAGCCAGTCCCATTTGCTTTCCCAAAAGCGCCTTTTACTTACCTTTCCCGCTCTCGCCCTCATACAATTCACTTCTTTCCTCGACCAAACTGCTATCTCAACGAGTCTACCCGCTATTGCATCCGTACTCGACATTGGCGCATCTATCTCATTAGTTAGCGCGAGCTTTCTCATCACCAGTACCAGCATCCAGCTTATCAATGGTAGACTGTCAGATATATTCGGCCGCAGGGCCTCTCTCATCATGGCGCTTTCCATCATGGGTGCTGGGAACTTGTGGGGTGGCTTTTGTGCCACGCCTGTAGAGCTGTTTGTCGCACGTGCATTCACTGGGTTCGGCGCGGGAGCTATCAATGCGCTCGTACAAATTGCCATTGCCGATATCACGACGCTGGAGCAGCGCGGGTATTATTTTGGCATGGTCGGGATGGCGGTGGCCTTGGGAAATGGGCTTGGTCCTCTCATTGGTGGGGTGCTCACTGAGACAATTGGATGGCAGTGGGCATTTTGGTTTGTTTGTCCCTTATGTGTGATTTCCATTGGTTATCTCATGTGTGTCTGGCCGATATCACGCTCTATTTCTGCTGAAAGCTAAATCTGGGACAAGCTAAAGCTGGTGGATTGGAAAGGAGCCTTGACAAGTCTATTTAGCATTGCGTTGATTCTGGTAGGCAATGAATATCATAGAGTGTATCTTTATTGTACTAATTTCGTGAGCTACCTAGGTTCCTATCTCACTGGGCGGATCCTCCATGTCCTGGACCTCGCCGTTAACAATAAGTATGCTCATCGCTGGCGTGACACTCTTTGGTGTCTTTTTGGCGATCGAGTGGCGCTTTGCGGATCTACCCCTGTTGCCGGCTCGATTGTTTCAGTATAATCGTTCTACGAACATTCTTATGTGTCAACATCCTGATCGGTTGGATTTACTGGGGGGACTTATTCATTGTCCCGCTATATCTTCAGAATGTCCGTGGATTGAGCCCTGCTCAGGCCGGAGTATTGATGCTAACCATGGTTATCACACATGGGCTTACATCAGGCCTGACTGGAGTTCTCATATCAACGTTAGGACATTATAAACCTGTCATTGTTACTGGAGCCCTCTGTTGGGCCCTGGGCGCTCTTGCAAAGATGCAGTACGACCAAGCGACCTCGATTTGGCAGATTATGGTGGTCGGTGTCTTTGACGGCATAGGTGTAGGCTGTTCGTTGCAGCCCGGTAAGTGATTCGTTCTCAGAATGCTAGTTACGGGCTCTATGGCTTACAAATCATTTACAGTACTCGTCGGTATTCTTGCTGGATCCGATACGGAAGATCGAGCTGTCTTGACTGGCCTACGAAATTTCGTGAGGGATATGGGAGGGGCAACCGGGACTACTGGTATGTATTAACTTCTGTGCCCTGGTATTTTTTGATGGTACTCTAATGGATATAAAGTTTCCGGGGCTGTTTTAGGTCTTGTGCTATCGGGCCAGTTGAAATCAAGATTCAACGACAGCCTCATTAGAAGAGTAATTTCTTCAGCGTTCGCATTGGAAGACTTACATCTCACCGAGGGAGAGAGGGAGATGATAGTTCAGGCTTACATGAAAGGTCTTCATGCCGTGTTTGTCACCTTCACTGTGCTCATTTTTATCCATCTTTGCTCGTGTTTGTATGTTCAGGACTACGGACTGAAACAGGGACAGAGGGAAAACATTGAAGAAGAGGAAGGGCTACAGAGCAGGAGGCAGGAACAAGAAGCCGACCCTTGAAATGGCGTAATTGAGATAATTCTATTATACAGTCTCAAGTATTGTGCAATTCATGAGGACAAATTATGGGGCTTATATTCCCCCTCTGAACAGATTCCATTCCGGGAAGAAGATACTCCAGCCCAAGCCCCAACCATTCCCTCGTGCTCTATGTCCTTCAAGTCACGCACATCAATCTCGCTCGCCCCCTTTAATAGAAGCAAGGCTTCCAATAGATCGATTGGTGTGCAATGAGTATCTATTGGGTATTCTATAGATATAGACGCTATCGGGAAAGCCTCACCGCCGATGATGCCGACATGTAAATATGGATTCATTCAAGGCACTTATGAGCGAGCCTATCTGTGCGAACTTGGAGAGTAATTGTGTACGACTACCCCGTCAAGTGAATTAAGAAGATCCATATCAAGGCCGACCTGATCTATCGCAACAAGGATACCATCAAACTCTTCAAGATACTCCTTGTTCCAATTCGCGGGTGTTTCTAGTCTCGGAACATATGGAAGAGCCTCCTGATTGACCAGAGGGTCTGCAAATTTGACATCCACGTGGTGGCGTCGAAGCAGATATTTTATGGCAGCAACACCTGGAGAATTGTACAGGACATTCTGTCCTTTTTTGAAGGCAACGCCTACAACGAGCACGCATGTATTCCTGTCTGACATGCGTCGTTGACCCCGCTTCGCGTCTCGCTTGCACTCAAGGAATCGCATTAGGCGATCAACGATTTCGAGAGGCCGTCGTACCGAGGATTCGGTAGCCTGCTGCAGGATAGGCATGTCGCATGTCTTTAGTAGGTAATAAGGGTTAACAGGTATACAGTGCCCCCCGACTCCAGGTCCCGGCTGAAAGGGAAGATAGCCGAATGGCTTTGATGCAGCTGCCTTGCTGACCTCCCATCCATTGATACCCAAGGAGACACAAGCGTCGGCCATTTCGTTGGTATAAGCAGCGCATACCATACGTTGGCAGTTCTCGTATAGTTTTGTCATCTCTGCTACCTCCAATGAAGACACAGGGACGAGTTGGTCAAACACTGGCTCATATAGCATCTGGACGGCGTCCAGAGAAGATGGTTCGATACCAGAGATAATCTTTGGAATCGCCTGGAATGCAGGGAACTGGCGGCCTGGATCAACTCTCTGAACAGATGTCAGCCCTGTTCGCCGGGGCCGGGGGGTTGAAAGATGGATACCTCCGGAGACATGCCTACTTTAACGTTCTTAGTGGCGATAAGGGGGCCAAGAAGCCTTCTTGTCATGCCCACGGATACTGAACTTTCCATAACCACCGTGACACCGTGTCGTGCATGTTCTGTGACTGTCTGCACGGCTTTTTCAATGGCTGTAGTGTTGATGGTCTTGTCATGATTAAGAGAGGTTGGGACCGATATCAGGAAGGCGTCTGCGAGAGCCAAATCAGGGGCATTTGAAGTAATTCGAACCGGTAATTCTTGAAATTGCTGAGTGATTTGCTCAACTCTCCGCTTCGATATGTCGAAAGCAATGACTTCGTAAAATTTAGCAAAGGCCTCAACCAAATGTGACCCTACATAGCCAACACCAATAACCGCCACCACAGGATGGAAAGGCGCTTCTGGGGCCAGATGGCCTTTGGCAGGTGCAGTGTCAGATTTCATAAAGCATTCGTTTATGATCTCTATCGGTGGGGTAAAAGGGAGTTTCTGTATAAAGGGGAGGTTTATGTTCGATGGTTCCATCGTGTTGAAGTCCTGCCGGTAAGGTACATCGGCATTTTTTTTTTTTTTTTTTTCCTTTACAGCGGCCGCCGCGCTTAGAGTTGCATTCGGCGCGGATTGGCGTGGATGGAAGGTGCCCTCCATCCACGCCGCGCGGATTTTGGATGCTCAGGCTTGGATCCGCATCCGCGCCAAAATCCGCGTGGATTTGGATTCTCCAAAGTCCAAGCTGCAAGCCTGCATTGTAATCTGTGACAAGCATACAACAGCATCACACATCAAATAGAATTAAGATTCCATTACATTTATATCATCTATACCAGTCTCATTCCACTATCAACCATCTCTGAGGCAAAAATGATCATATATCTGAATACATTCTGAAATTGCACAACAATTCATATTTACTCTGTAATATCTACCCATATATATATATACTTAGGGGCCCGGCGGGCTTGGCATTCCCAGGTTGGCTTCAGTTTCAGACAGTTGTGGGAGGTTGTCAGCGGTGACCAATGTTTGGCTCTGGCAGGCGGCAGTATCCAACCGCCTGGCATCCGAACAACACAGAACTATAGTTAGCCACTATCATCATCACATTCTCTCAACTAGCATATATCCATCTCATTTTCATCATACTACCATGCTGGCAACTGATTAATAATAAGCTCTGACTGATTCTCAAACTGATATCACACTGTAGACTGACACAGTGACAACCTGCCTGCTATCATTAGCAACATCCTTGGCTCAACCCCAAGACACAAAGAACATTGCATTCACCTCAAAGAAATCTCTAGAACCTATTTCTTTCACCATCAAACACACTAACTCAACAAGATGGCCTGCATCTTATCAATTTCTTTTTCTTCATTCTCTCATTCTCTCCATGCCAACTTCTACTATATCACTCTTCTTATCTCTTATAACCTTGTTGAATTCATCTGTCTAAACACCTGTCTATTTATCATACATAAATCTCCTAGTAGAACTGCTGTGTGTACACCTGACATATTACCATCATCATGGCAGAAGAAAACCGACCTGCACTGATTGATTTTTCCCTGATTCCTGAAGATGACGGCAACAACGACAATCCTGGTGAGCAAAACCCTTTTCCAACCCTCCCGTTAACAGCCTAACGATGAGACAGAGCATGAAGGCAAACTAGTGGGGAATAAGGGTGAATTGCAGCAGATACTCAATTTGACAGATGAAGGGGAGTGGACAGAGTGATTGAGGTCATGCCTGGTGCAACCATGGTGGATTGAGTTATGGACTGAATGCCTCTCAAAATGTGCAAGTGGAGAGCAGGGAGTTGGTGTGGGCAAGATCCAGGCAAAAATCCTGGCTGGTGAGGGCAACAGACGGAATGAATACAGCAACCCCATACCCAAGAAGAAGGAATGGAGCGCCGCTGACCACATAGCAAGGTTCCATTTCATGGTGAAGACCCAAAACCTGGTGTCCAATGAGGGTGTGTTCTACAGCAAGAACTTTGCTGACTCCTACCTCAACAAGGTTGTCTGGGCCTTGAAGGGTTACCTCACCA